CTTGGGTTTCTTACGGCACCAGGTGACCAAACCAAGCACGGGTGCCCCCATGGCAATCCCTACTAATTGTGGGCCTCAACACCCTGCTGACATGGGGCCAGGAGCAGAGCAAGACCTGGAAGGCTCCTGGTAGTGAGGTGTCAAAGGGGGCTGGATCTTAGGCAAAGGCCCTCTCCAACCAACTGGTGGCTCTGTGCACAGCGCTAGCCTGTCCTCTCCTCTGGCCGCAGAGGAAACCCTGCCTCCTCCTCCTCTTAACTCTACCAGGCTACTCGGAGTGATATGCCAGTCCCTGCCCCTGAGCACAGCGGGGTGAAAGCTGCTCTCTGCACACTCCACAACGAGCTCCATGGGAGGAAGGAGCTGGCGGGTGCCAGGATACCTTGAACGCGTTCGATAGACGCAGGCCTGGCAGGTCCCACGGGCGAGAGCTGCAGGTTCCCTGGGCAAGCAGCAAGAAAAGAGGGAGAAGAGCAGACACGTAAATAGTGTATGCATGCATGCACTCGGCCTTGGGGACAGTCCTGCCTGCAGGATCACCTCCACTCCCTGCAGTCCCCTGGAACACCTACAGAGAAGATGCCGCATGCTGCAGGTCTGGCTTTATTAACCTCTTCCGTTAACGCCACCTCTGCCATCACAGGCGTGACAGCCAGCTTGGCACGGCCCTTCCCTCACTCACCGTGTGAACGTGCAGGGCAGGAGGACATCCTGCCAAGAGGATCGGCATTCTGTGGGGCCATGCTGCACCCCACAACACACAGCCAGCCAGCTTCTGCTTCCGCCCCTGCCTGCAGCTTCCCATAGCACTCCCCAGTGCCAGCTTTCTGCCTGCTCTCCAAAACCTTCCAGATGCCAAGAACTAGTGGGTAGCTCTTGGACAGATGGTGCCCACCCCAACGAAAATGAGTCAGCTGCCCCACAGTACCTAAGACCAGACGATCTCAGAACAGATTTGCCACATTCCTGAAACAAGGCCTACGATACAAGTCAAGGCAACAGGGGAGTCAACTGCCTGTGAGTCTCATTACTGGGAGAACAGGAACGCTGTGGTTGTGCTAACCCCGGCACACAGCTTGACGGGGCGGCCACGCAACGTGGGAACAGTAAGGAATCCAGCTCTGGGGCTGGGCCATACAGACCGTGCCTGCGGAGGGAAAGCCAAGCCGTCTCTCACTGGGAAATTCCCTGCCAAGGAATCACTGTCGCAAGCAAAAGTGAAGGCCCAGCTCCCTCTGCTGGGCACGGTGCAGGGAGAAGCGGCAGCAGCACAAGCTGCTTCCCAGCACCCAGGCAGCAAAGGAGCAGGACAGGGACTAGAGAGGAGCAAGCTCTGCCTAACCGCACAAGCACAGGGACAGACACGGGCTCACAGAAGAGATGGAAAA